AGTCTGATTATTGGAGGAGAGCACACTGAGTTCCCAGCATAGCCAGAGAACTGACCATGCTGTGCTTTCATGTTTAGGAAAGCAGAGGGGCTGGCAGGAAACACAGGGGATATCACACAAAAGAAGCAATACAAAGAGAACAGGATACTTTTTCATACAAGTACACAGTACAGCAGCCATATATCAGGAATATGAAATATGAAAAGTCTAAGATCTATCAGAACACCCAGATCCTCCTCAACCACCACCAGCTGTTCTCTTCCTAGAATGTATGATGCATGCATGTTTTCATGCCCCAAGTGCATAACTTTACATTTATCAACATCAAATCTCATTTGCCACAATGTTGCTCAATTAAATAGTGCATTGAGGCCAGCTTGTAAATTGGAGAAATCCTATAAGGATGGTGTTCCACTAAATAGCTTAGTGTCATCTGAAAAGTCTGAAATGGTACTTTTAATCCCAAACTCTATATAATTTATAAATAGGTTAAAAGGTAAATGTCCCAACACTGAACCTTGGGGTACACTACACTAATGAATGAATTATACAGTAAACAAATGTGATTTTGAACATTTTACATCTGAGGGCTTTCAGGGTCGACTTAGCAGCTAAGGCTTATATTCCAAACGTTAGTGCCTATTTGTTTAAGTTTAAGTTTAGTGAGATAAAGCATCACCGATTGACCTCTGACCACCCAAATCATAAGTGGCTAAGGACAGTCCTGCTGATCTTGAACAGCTAGTGGTTGATATTTCCACATGGCTATTACATGGTTTGCAGACTTCCTAGCTTCCCTGAGCAACTATACTTATCATTTGCCAGGTACTCAATTTCCCATTCGAAACCTTCCCGCAACCTTTCCTGGGGGAATAGTTTAGGTTAATAGCAGAGCATACATCAAAGATCAGGCTCGCTGCAGCATTGGGATTAGCTATTAGGGTACGGTTTATCAGCTTGCCTGTGGAGCTGTAGCTCCGTATGGTCAACCAGGTTTTAGTGGGTCCATAGGTGGGGTCATAACAGGTTACCTGTTTCCCTACAGTGCACATTGAATAAGTGTGTTTCATTATGTACACAAGGTCAGTTACTGTGCCTTTACATTGATAAGAATGCCATAGAAACATTTTAGTGGTTATAGATTCTACTCTAATAATCTTGATACACGAGTCACATGATCTGCCCTCCCCCCTATTCTAGTCAGGGTTAGTGTTATGGCTACCAGCAATTTTATTAAAACATTTTTATCAGGCATCATATCGGTGTATATTCTCATCTTCCGCTGTGCGTTGACCAGTTAGCTTCCGGGTGTGACTGGAGCAGAACTGGAGTTCTTCCTACTGGTCAGATGTATCCTTTTCTTCTGCCGTGCGTAGACTCAACAGCTTCCAGGTATGTGTTGAGAGCAGGGCTGGAGTTCTTCCTTCTGATTTCTCTGGTCAGTTTAGCTTTAAGGGTCTGCTTTACTCTCTGGGATCAGCAGCTCGCTTTGCCTTGGAATGGTGTATCCAGGGAGTCACCTCGGCCACCTTAATGGCTGTGGGAGTAGATAGCAAAACAGTGTAAGGACCTCTCCATCTGGGCGCTAAAGGGGTTACGCTCCACTCCTTTACCCACACTGCATCTCCCGGTGCACATGGATGGATGGGGTTGGACAGGCTTATGGGAAGTTTATGTTAAACTCACTTCCCTATATCCTGCATATTCTCCCCCAATCTCTGTAACAGTTCATGATTCACCACCCTTCTTATCTGGTGTAAGTCTCCCTTGATATCTCTAATGACGGTAGGACCCCTACCATATAGTACTTCAAAAGGGGACAAATTTGTCCTCTTTGTTGGAGTACTCCGAATTCTTATCAAGACAATGGGCAGCATCAAAGTCCACTTCATTTGGATTTCCTGTTAGAATTTTGCCAGTTGTAACTTTAGAGTGCTGTTCATTCTTTCCACTTTTCCAGAACTTTGAGGCCTGTATGCGGTCTGTAATCTCCAAGTGATCTTGAGTGTGGTTGCTAATTCCTGAAGGCACTTGTGAACAAAGGCAGGACCATTGTTTGAGCCTATGGAGGAGGGAACTCCATATCTGGGGATAATTTCCTGTATTAGGCATTTGACCACTTCTCTGGTAGTTTCAGTTCGTGTAGGCCAGGCTTCTACCCAGCCCTAATAGGTGCAGACAGCCACCACCAAATATTTATATCCTCCTGAAGGGGGCATAACAGTGAAATCGACCATTAATTCTTCCATTGGTGAGGCCCCTTGTCAGGAATGGACTTGCCAGTAATGGTGGGACTCACCTGCCTTGTGGGCTGCAGTACCAGGGCTGGCCAGCGGGTGCTCCCGGCAATCAGAGACTCAACCCTGCAGCCAGCCAAACACCTGAAATTGATCATGCAGGTGTATTTAAGGGATGGCCAGACCTGCAGTCTCTGCCTTGGTGTGTGTTTTTTCCTGGGCCCTGTATCTTGCATTCCTGTTCCTGTTCCTGTTCCTGTTCCTGTTCCTGTCTGACTGATTCGTTGCTGACCCTGCCTGATTCCGGACCTCTGCTGACTTCTCCTGTTTCATCCCTGGCTTGTGACCCCGACCATTCTCTGCCTGACCCCCTGTTCCTACCTGCCCGATTGTTATTGACCCGGCCTGCCTGACGACGCTTGCATTGTATATATTGTTATCTGTGGGTGGTTTGGTTTGGTTCGTTTGCACTGTATTATGTTTTAGTATTGCACTGCGTTTATGTTTGTATTGTTAGTCTTTAATAAATTGTCTTATTGTTTATAACATATCTGAAGCCTGCGTTTCCCTGCGTCAGTCACATACCTCTGGTCATACCCTGGAGCCCTGACATTACACCAAGGTCAATCCTGACCAGAAGTGACTGCACAGGGAAGCCATCTTGGCTTGTTGCTGGGAAGGATGGATCTTGATGAGGTGGTGTATTTATCTTTTCTAGTGTTTGATGACAGAGAATATGCTTATCAGGCTCTGAGGGAGTATACCCGGGATCAACTGCTAGAATGTATACGGATCGCTCATGTTCTAGTAGATCAGGGCACAGAGTTCTCTGAGGTGCAACCTTTGATCCAGGTTTGTGTAGAGTTGGCTTCATCTGGTACCCCTGAAAGCAGGAATGACGTTTTGCCACCATTTAGTGCAGACCAGGTAGAGTCCCTGGTATGGTTATTAGAGGATGATGTGGATTGCTTCTTGGAACATTATGCTGCATGTTCACAACAGGTATTAAGGGATTGTATAAACGCAGTGCAGTCTTTGGTCAGACAGGCTTTGTGTAAGCTGAGGTTTGTTCAACCAATACTGCAGACATGGTCAGACTTGTTGCACCCAGCCTCAGTCAGCTTGCAAAAACCCAGTCCTGCTTCAAATCTATTTCTTCAAAGCTCTATTCCTGCATTCCCAACAGCACCTCCAGTTACAGCCCAGTATACCCTGCTATCTACCGCATGTCAGTACCCTGTTCCCACTCGCTGCACCTATCCTGCCTTTAACCCTGTAAGGAAGTCCTCTGTAGCAACTGTTCCCTCCCCTGTTCCATCCTCCAGCTCTTTTCTGTCTCCAGCTGCTCCATCCGTTTACAAACCTGCGCTTACTTACAGTGCTCCGGTAACTAAAACCAGGAAAAGGCAAAAGTTCTTTCCAACCAATACCATCCTGCCAGTATCCAAACCGGTCAGACTCCCATCTGAGAACCTGCCTTCTGTGGTGCAGCCTGGTGCCTCGGCGTCCACAATTCAGCCTGATGTCTCTACCCAGCCTGATGCCTCTACCCAGCCTGATGCCTCTACCCAGCCTGATGCCTCTACCCAGCCTGATGCCTCCATTCAGCCTGATGCCTCCATTCAGCATGATGTCTGTACCCAGCCTGATGAACTGATCCAGCCTGATGATCCTATCACGCCTGATGACCCGATGCCCGCTGTCGAGCCAGACGATCCAATGCCTGATGACCCAGTGCCCGCGGTCATACCTGGTGACCCGATGCCCGCTGTCGAGCCAGAAGATCCAATGCCTGATGACCCAGTGCCCGCTGTCATGCCTGGTGACCCGATGCCCGCTGTCGATCCAGACGATCCGGTACCTGATGACCCAGTGCCCGCTGTCATACCTGGTGAACCGATGCCCGCTGTCGAGCCAGACAATCCCATGCCTGATGACCCAGTGCCCGCTGTCATGCCTGGTGACCCGATGCCCGCTGTCGGGCCAGATGATCCAATGTCTGACCCAGTGCCCACGGTCATGCCAGTTGACTCGGAGCCTACTGTCGTGCCTGGTGACTCGGTGCCCACTGCCTTGCCAGATGATGCGGTGCCCGCTGGCGAGCCAAATGGCCTGATGCCTTGTGACCCAGTGCCCGCTGTCATGCCTGGTGACCCGATGCCCGCTGTCGAGCCAGACGATCCAACGCCAGATGACCCGGTGCCTGCTGTCGATCCAGACGATCCAACGCCAGATGACCCGGTGCCCGCTGTCGATCCAGACGATCCGGTACCTGATGACCCGGTGCCCACTGTCGTGCCAATTGACTCAGAGCCCACTGTCATGCCTGGTGACTCGGTGCCCACTGCCTTGCCAGATGACGCGGTGCCCGCTGTCGAGCCAAATGACCTGATGCCTGGTGACCTGATGCCCTCTGTCGAGCCAGATGATCCAATGTCTGACCCAGTGCCCGCGGTCATGCCTGGTGACTCGGTGCCCACTGCCTTGCCAGATGACGCGGTGCCCGCTGTCGAGCCAAATGACCTGATGCCTGGTGACCCGATGCCCGCTGTCCAGCCAGACGATCCAGTGTCTGACCCAGTGCCTGCGGTCATGCCAGTTGACTCGGAGCCCACTGTCGTGCCTGGTGACTCGGTGCCCACCGCCTTGCCAGATGACGCGGTGCCCACTGGCGAGCCAAATGACCTGATGCCTGGTGACCCGATGCCCGTTGTCGTGCCTGATGACCCGGTGCCCGCCGCTCCTCCTGGGGGCCCGGTGTCTGCCGCCCCTCCTGGGGGCCCGGTGTCTGCCGCCCCTCCTGGGGGCCCGATGCCTGTCGCCCCTCCTGGGGGCCCGGTGCCCGCCGCTCCGCCTGGGGGCCCAGTGCCCGCCGCTCTGCCTGGGGGCCCGATGCCTGTCGCCCTGCCTGGGGGCCCGGCGCCCACCTCCCCGCCTGGTGGCCCGGTGCCTGCTGCTCCGCCGGGGAGCCCGGCGCCCGCTGCTCCGCCTGGTGATCCGGTGTCCACCTCGATGTGCCTCTGCCCAGAGTCCAGCTCGATGTGCCTCTGCCCGGAGTCCTGCCCGATGTACCGCTGCCCGGAGTCCTGCCCGATGTGCCGCTGCCCGGAGTCCTGCCCGATGTGCCGCTGCCCGATGTGCCGCTGCTCGGAGTCCTGCCCGATGTGCCGCTGCCCGGAGTCCTGCCCGATGTGCCGCTGCCCGGAGTCCTGCCCGATGGGCCGCTGCCCGATGTGCCGCTGCTCGGAGTCCTGCCCGATGTGCCGCTGCTCGGAGTCCTGCCCGATGTGCCACTGCCTGGAGTCCTGCCCGATGTGGCAGTCTTTGATATCCCGCCAGTTACCAGACCCGGGCGGTGGAACATTTTGCCCAGCTAGGACTGTTTGGAGCGTCCTGAGGCCGCTCCTTGAGGGGGGGGTACTGTCAGGAATGGACTTGCCAGTAATGGTGGGACTCACCTGCCTTGTGGGCTGCAGTACCAGGGCTGGCCAGCGGGTGCTCCCGGCAATCAGAGACTCAACCCTGCAGCCAGCCAAACACCTGAAATTGATCATGCAGGTGTATTTAAGGGATGGCCAGACCTGCAGTCTCTGCCTTGGTGTGTGTTTTTTCCTGGGCCCTGTATCTTGCATTCCTGTTCCTGTCCCTGTCTGACTGATTCGTTGCTGACCCTGCCTGATTCCGGACCTCTGCTGACTTCTCCTGTTTCATCCCTGGCTTGTGACCTCGACCATTCTCTGCCTAACCCCCTGTTCCTACCTGCCCGATTGTTATTGACCCAGCCTGCCTGACGACGCTTGCATTGTATATATTGTTATCTGTGGGTGGTTTGGTTCGTTTGCACTGTGTTATGTTTTAGTATTGCACTGCGTTTATGTTTGTATTGTTAGTCTTTAATAAATTGTCTTATTGTTTATAACATATCTGAAGCCTGCGTTTCCCTGCGTCAGTCACATACCTCTGGTCATACCCTGGAGCCCTGACACCCCTACTGCTTGTACTCCAGGAGTTGGTACAGGCCCTTGTCCTGGTTTTTTTCTGGAGCATGCCACACATCTACTGGCTGTTGCTTGTGCTAGTGTGGGTAGTCAAGTAATGTAAAAATCTCTCTCTAGGGCCTTTTCAATGACTGTTTTGCCTTCGTGTGTTCCCTTGTGGAATTCTGTCACTAATTCAGTTGCTACAGCAGTTGGAATGACAATTCTTCCATCTTGCAGTTGAGACCATCGGTCTTCCCTGTAGTTTCCAGGTTCAGTCTCTATCCATTCTTGTTCTGCCTTTGTATAGATTGGGTCCTATTCATAGAATGGTACTGGGAGCAGAGGGGCCATAATCTGTTGTGAGGACTGCTGGAGTGCTGCCTCTCTGGCTGCTTGATATGCTTTTCTGTTGCCTTTTTCCACCTGGGAGTCTCCCTTTTGATGACCCCTACAATGTATTACTGCAACTTCAGAGGGGGCCCATAATGCTTCCAAAAGTTCTAGTATTTCTGTCCCATACTTGATGCTCTTTTCCATGGATGTGATGAGTCCACTTTCCTTGTACATGAGCATGAAGAGTCAGGAAAGCATACTTAGAGTCCACATAAACATTCAGTCTTAGGCCTGCATCTAGTTGTAATGCTTGGGTCAGGGCAATTAGTTCCACTTTTTGTGCAGAGGTTCCCTGTAGTAGGGCTGTTGCCTCAGTCACTGTTTCCTCTGTGACCACTGGGAATAATTGGCATAGCGAATTCCATCCTTTACAAAACTGCTGCCATCAGTGTAATGTTTGACATCTGGCTTTCCCAAGGGACTGTCGCAAGCCTGGCCAACTTGTGTAGACTTCACCCATTACCTGGAGGCAGTCATGTATTAGGGGTTCTTTTGAGGTGGGGATCATCGTGACGGGGTTCAGAGTGTTAATAGTCTGTAAATTGATTTGAGGATTTTCACACAGCATGGCCTGGTATTTGACCATCCGGCTGTTAGTGAATCAGTGATTTCCCTTATGATCCATCAATGCCTGAATGTGGTGTGGAACTCTGACATAGATCTCTTGACCCAGTGACAACTTTTCAGCTTCGGTCACCAAGAGGGCTGTTGCTGCGATAGCCTGCTGGCAAGATGGTCAACCTTGAGCTACAGTGTCCAGTTGTTTGGAAAGGTATGCCACCAGGCATTGCCACGACTCCAGGTATTGCATCAGCACTTCCACTGCTATCCCCTGTTTCTCACTGACATACAGATAGTAGGTTTTTTACAGTTCGGTAAGCCGAAAGCAGGGGCTTGCATTAAGGAAGTCTTAATGCCCTAGAATGTTTGGTTTTGTTGTTTTGCCCATAGGAACGGTTCCTTCTCTCCCCCCTTTGTAAATTCATAGAGGAGCTTGGCTTCTGTGGCAAAGCTTGGTATTTAGATCCGGCAGAATTCACGCACTTGATGCTTGGTTGGTGGTGTAGGGACTGTGGCAAACAGCCTCCTTCCTGCCTCTCCCAACTGTCTCTAGCCTTTTAATACTCTGAATTTCAGGTATTTTACAGTCTTTTGGCACAACTGAGCCTTTTTCCTGGATACTTTATAGCGTACCTCCACAGTAGTTGTAACAGTGACCATGGGCTGCCAGGGGCATAGCTGGATGGAGCCCGGTCGGTCTCAGTACTGATCCTCATCTGGATACACAGAGCCTACTAGCCCCACAAAATCTACATATTTGTCTTCTTACCTGTTCCTATCATATCGTCCATTGTGAACTTGTCCCTCTCGTGGCTCCCTTCTCATGGAGTCCTCTTTGGGGACACTCTCACTTCCAATGTCCTTCCTGTTTGTAATATGCACACTGATCCTTTCCCAGCCTCAGTACATAAACCCTTTTTTTTCTTCCACTTTCTTAGCCTCCTTCCGTCTAAACATTCCTGGTCCTTTTGGCTCTCAGAGCTTCTGCTAACATATTCACCTCCCCTTTCATTCTTCGATTTTCCTCTCTTTTTGTTTCTCAATCTCGATTGACAAACACTTTCGTAGCTATTTCTAGCAACTATGAAATGTTCATACCAACGAATCCTTCTTACTCTTGCAATTTTCCTCTTAATATCCCTCGTAGACTGACTAACAAAAACAGTGTTAAATAACATCTGATTGTCAGTTACTTGGGCTGTTGAAGAACTTCTGTGTCTTACTGAGATTTGTGGGCTTCTTGCCAGCTGTTTCATCCCCTCAATAATAACTGATAAAATTCATGTTTTTCCATATCCCCCTCTGTATTTGGACCCAACTAGGGGATCATTTTTTAGAAAATGTTCCTTCACCCAGGTCTGGGAGTCAGCTCTGTCTTTTCCCAACTCTCCGGCATACTTAAAAGCTGGGGTTATGCGTCTGGATTATCACATGGAGAAAGTCTGTCACAGCCTGTGGTTTCTCACTATTAAAAGGGTTATAGGTCTTTCCGTTCAGTAACTCAGTTGTGGTGAAGGGAGTGTAGACTAGAGTCCTGTGTCCCCTTATCAATTGTTCCCTTAGGGGCATTAGCATGGGTAAATTGAAGGATAGGACAAGAGTCTGATTACTGGCACTGGAGTCCTTCAGGGTGGAAGTGAACACCTGGTCTGTGTGCCCATTAGTTGTTGCTGTGCCCCCAATTCCCATCCTACTGCTATTTCTGAGAATATCATTACTAGAGGTGTCAGTATGAACATGTATAGTAAGATTTGGCATTGATGAGCTGCTCACATCTGCTTTGGAAATAGACCTGAGCTAAATTCCAACTGTCTATGCAGAGAGGTGTCAGAGTCTGTCCCTCGTTCAGCCATGGTATGTCCCTGTACGTATGGAGGAGGCAGATCTGTCTCCTCAGGTGGAGAAAAGATACACTTGTTACTTTTTTTAGGCTATATTGTTACCTTTGTCATCTATACATTTCATAGTGTATATCAGCTATACTTCTCCTATCCTCTGTACATTTCCTGCACAACTCATATATTACCTATACATTCCATCAATGTAATATACAGGTAATGTATCCTGAGAGATCTGTGTACACAATATATGTGTGTATTATATATACTGTCCTATATACATCTCCTTAGTGTTCTATACACCTAATATTTCTTGCAATCGGTCAATGGTCTCTAAATCAAACGTACCCTGGGGAGGCCAACATTTTCCATAACGGGCCTGCCTTTCTCGCACAGTGTTTCTAACCTTTTAGAACTGGATTTCAGTTTGCAGGTTTTGCAAATCCCACTCCTGAAACTACTGATCATGCCCTCTAAGGCACTCCAAGGGGGTCTGGACTGACTGATTACCACCCATATTGTTTCCTTAGTGTCAAGGTCCTACCTTTCCTCAGGGCTTGTGCTGCTCCATGTGCTGCCATCTATCTTAGGTGTCTGCAAAGCATTGTGGGATCCTTTATGCTTTCAGCCTCTGCGGCTCCTCCCCTAGGAGGTGGCGGCTTATCACATATAAGTCTGCTGTTTGTAGCTGTCCATTGCATTCATGTCCTGTCTGTTGCACAGCAGCAAGCTCCTGTTTAGTTCTCATTGCTCTCCTGGATACCGACTCGGCTTTGGCAAGACTCCTTCCTGGCTTCTGACCTCGGCTCTGGCGACCATCCTTCCTGGCTTCTGACCTCGGCTCTGGCGACCATCCTTCCTGGCTTCTGACCCCAGCTCTGGCGATCATCCTTCCTGGCTTCTGTCCTACCAAGTCATACGCTGTTGCTGTTGGACTTGCATAGACTGTCTTGTTTTTGTACAATAAACCTACCTTTAATTGCACCTCCTTGTGTGTCTGGCTCCTTGCTCCCTGACACTACACGAATGCCTTGAATCCTGACGGTGCAGGTACGCCCTCGCTCCCTATGTTGGTTGCCAGACTTGATCAGCAGGATCTCTTGTTGGGTCAGTTCGCTCAGGTGTTGCAGACGCTGCTTGCACGCACAGCGCACCTTACTCCTGGTGCTATTAGGCCAGTTGTCACTCCTGTGGTCGCTCCAGCTGTTGCTCCGGTTGTTGCGTCTACCTCCGCATCTGCTGCCGCACCTGCAGTGCCCAGAGGTATGACTGGTTCAGCCCCCCTTCCACAGAGCTTTGGGGGTGAGCCGAGTCAGTGTCGGGGTTTCCTTAACCAAGTGGGTATATATTTTGAA